AGGCTGCACCTACGTGTTCAGCGTCGTAGTCGTCGTGCTCTTGGCGAGGAAGTTTAGGCTCTACCCGCTCCAGTGCGTCCTGGTCCATGGGCTGAGTTAGAGGGGGGCTTTCATGAGATCGTTCGCATTCGCGGCGCTTTGAATTGGAATGATCGTGACCTGGCCCGCCGACGAAGCTTCTTGAGCGCGAACGTCTTGCCGCCCGCGCTCTTCCCCCTCGTCGAGTCGAGATTCTTCTCCGACGGGGGTGGGTAGATGTGTGGGCGGCCTTCGCATTCATGCATGCGCAGTATCATGGATATGTCTTCCATCCCGTTCGCGAAGTCTTGGAAGGTGATCGGGGGGGTTTGTGGGTGGGGTGTGGTGGTGGTGGGGTGGGTGGGTGGGTGGGGGGGGTTCGAGCAGTTCTTAGGTCTCCGGAGCTGGGCGCGAGATCCTGAACATCAATGACGTCGGCGCGGTTCTGTAGCAGGACCTGCAGTCGATGGCAGCACCCGCGCCAGCTGGGTGTTGTTCGCGGTGTGGCTGCTGGATGCACGACCGCGCGCAAGTATCGACGTTCGACGTGCATCAGGCTTTCGAGAGTTGCCGCAGTGAAAATGTACTGCCAGCGTGCTTGTGGCCTGAGTCTCGCTCGCGCGCGGTCGCAGGTGCGGGCGCAGTTTTGATCGCTCAACGCAAGCAGTATTTGGCCATGGCGGCCGCGCGTTCCTGGAGTCGGGCCTGGTGTGCCCTGTCCTTAGGTCTTGCGGAGGGCCCTACTTGCTGGCCTCGCGCGCTGTTTTGCGACGATCGGGAACCTGGTCTTTGAGCTTTTGGGATTGTGTTTCGGTGGCTCTATAAGTACTGCTGCTGTCTCGGTCCGCTTCGCGCATGAGGAGTTCCAGATGATGAAACATGTCGCGAAATTGGAGGCTCTTTCGGTTCCGTTCGGGTCCCCCTTCTCCGGGATGCGCTGAAGTGGCGTAGGTATGTTGAAGCCTTGATGTCCTTGTGTTTCTGCTACTGCCCACGGTGTATACATATAACGGCGCACCGGGTCCGGGGGCCCGGGGCCGGGACCTCGACCACAAATGTGCGCCCCGGGGGGCCCGGAGGCTCGCTCGTCGGGGCTTGCCGGAGGCCTCCCCGGTCAGACAAAACGGCCCCAGGAGCGCCCAAGACGGCCCAAGAAACTTCCAAGAGGCCTCCAAGAGGGCTCCGAGATGCTGAATATGGCCTCCAGACGTCCAAGGACGCCCCCAAGGGGCCCCAAGAAGCCTCCAACATGCGTCCCAAGAGGGCCCCTAGACGCAAAAATTTGCCCATTCCGTTCGTAAAACGTACATTTTCAATAAAGTTGTCTTTTGGGCTTTCCGACGTCACAGGACGGCCCAAGAGGCGCCCAAGACCGCCCCAAGACGGCCCAAGAAGCTTCCAAGAGGGCCCCAGGACAGCCCAAGAGGGCCCCAAGACGGCCCAAGAGGCGCCCAAGATGGCCCAAGAGGGCCCCAAGACGGGCCCAAGAGGGGGCCCAGAGGGGGACCACGAACCGCAAGCTCGAGCCTTCCGCCCCAAGAGGCCGCCAGGAGGCCCCCAGGAGGCCCCTCAAGAGGCCCCAGGAGACCCCAGACGTCCAAGGACGCCCCCAAGAGGCTCCAAGAAGCCTCCAACATGCGTCCCAAGAGGGCCCCTAGACGCAAGAATTGGCCCATTCCCTTCGTAAAACGTACATTTTTAACAAAGTCGCCTTTTGGGCTTTCCGACGTTACAGGACGGCCCAAGAGGCGCCCAAGACCGCCCCAAGACGGCCCAAGAAGTTTCCCAGAGGGCCCCAGGACAGCCCAAGAGGGCCCCAAGACGGCCCAAGAGGCGCCCAAGATGGCCCAAGAGGGCCCCAAGACGGGCCCAAGAGGGGGCCCAGAGGGGGACCACGAACCGCAAGCTCGAGCCTTCCGCCCCAAGAGGCCGCCAGGAGGCCCCCAGGAGGCCCCTCAAGAGGCCCCAGGAGACCCCAGACGTCCAAGGACGCCCCCAAGAGGCCCCAAGAAGCCTCCAACATGCGTCCCAAGAGGGCCCCTCGACGCAAAAATTCGCCCATTCCGTTCGTAAAACGTACATTTTCAACAAAGTTGTCTTTTGGGCTTTCCGACGTTACAGGACGGCCCAAGAGGCGCCCAAGACCGCCCCAAGACGGCCCAAGAAGCTTCCAAGAGGGCCCCAGGACAGCCCAAGAGGGCCCCAAGACGGCCCAAGAGGCGCCCAAGATGGCCCAAGAGGGCCCCAAGACGGGCCCAAGAGGGGGCCCAGAGGGGGACCACGAACCGCAAGCTCGAGCCTTCCGCCCCAAGAGGCCGCCAGGAGGCCCCCAGGAGGCCCCTCAAGAGGCCCCAGGAGACCCCAGACGTCCAAGGACGCCCCCAAGACGCCCCAAGAAGCCTCCAACATGCGTCCCAAGAGGGCCCCTAGACGCAAAAATTGGCCCATTCCGTTCGTAAAACGTACATTTTCAACCAAGTCGCCTTTTGGGCTTTCCGACGTTACAGGACGGCCCAAGAGGCGCCCAAGACCGCCCCAAGACGGCCCAAGAAGCTTCCCAGAGGGCCCCAGGACAGCCCAAGAGGGCCCCAAGACGGCCCAAGAGGCGCCCAAGATGGCCCAAGAGGGCCCCAAGACGGGCCCAAGAGGGGGCCCAGAGGGGGACCACGAACCGCAAGCTCGAGCCTTCCGCCCCAAGAGGCCGCCAGGAGGCCCCAAGGAGGCCCCTCAAGAGGCCCCGGGAGACCCCAGACGTCCAAGGGCGCCCCCAAGACGCTTCGCGCCACCAATTTCTTCTCGCAACGATTCCTGGGTCTGTGACTCGACAGAACCTAAGCGTGCGCGAAGCGCGCGCGTGGTTCTAGTATGCATATATCCGTGGAGCATTCGTTTTCTGAACCCGTATGTGTCGCGTTCCCATCGTTAGGAGATCCGACTTCATATTCGTCGGGGTCCTTATCTGCTGGTGGCGAAGTCTTCGATTGGGTTAACTCAGAGTTTCATCTGCACTCCAGGTCTCAAGGCTGGATTCTGAGGAACCAACAGCGTTTATGGATTTACGGAGCTTCGGACTGTCATCATAGTGTTCTTATCCCGTGGCTTGGTCGGCCGCCGTGCTCGTTCGCGTGTGTTCGGGCGCCGCTTCTTAGTGCGTTGGCTGCTGCTCGCTCGGCATGCTTGTTTCGGGCGCTGGTGTCGGTTATCTTCTTTGAGTATTCGCTGGAATTGCTGAAGCCAGCGTGTCCTATGGCTTTTTATTGCCAAGTTTAGGTTATCACTGCCAACGTCGCCATCTGTGCGCAGTGCTTTGCGGTTGTGGTTATCCCAAGTTCGCCGCGCTGCCCGTGTCCAACGTCTGTGGCCGCGCGCCACGGGCAAAAGTGGCCGTGGCAAGGGCGGCGGCGGCATCGGTGAAGGCTGTGGCGATAGCACAGGATATGGCTATGGTGGTCGTCCGTGCGAGCAGACCTGTGGATGGAATGGCCGTTCAAGTGGCCGTCGCGGAGGTCGTGGCGATCGCGGCCGTGGCGACCGTGATCACGATCGGGGCCGCCGCCGCCGCGAGGGCTCACCCGACTCGGAGGAGGAGGAGGGGGAGGTTCGCCGTGCTGAGCGTCTCCTCGCCGAACGCAGACCGCAGTTTCCCGCTTTCAGGAGTGGGGTCAGACGCCAGTGTGAGATCTTGGCGGGCGTTGTGTTGTTGGTTCGCAGCTCAACCGGGTTCTCTCAGCGATTGCGGCGCCCGCAGCGCCTTGTGTTTCGGCTTCGGCGGGTTCGGCGGGCCCGACCTTCCCGCCGCGGCCTCTGCTGCCGTCGTGCGTCGCCCCCGCCGAGGAAGTCCCGATCTTGGACGGAGTTCGCTCATCCGCGCAGAAGTGCATCATCAAGGCTATGTGGGGCCCGAAGGGCGTGCTGGAGTCAGGCGCCTTCGCGGAGGTGAGCGAAGTCGCCGCCAAGTCGCGGGCGTCGAATCCGACTGAAGTCCTGCAGATCAAGTGATGTCTCACTGACAACTGCGACGGCGACCCGCACCGTGGCAAGAAGGAGCGGATTCAATGCTTCTGGGGCGTGATCCAGCAGCTTGACTGAATCGATGATGCCACCCTTCCAGAAGAGTCCAATTCTGATGACTATGTGGCTACGTCGTGGCAGTCTCAGCGTCGTCTAAGGTCATGCGAGTTCCAGATATCACCTCAGATCGCCTTCGTAGTGGTGTGCTCAATGTTTGTGATCGGCATCACTTATGGGTACTTCCTCAATTCAGTCGTGCTTGGTGCTGAATTGTAATGGTATTGGTGGCAGTTGTGAGGTTTCGGCTCTGGTTACCTCTCTGTAATTCCTGAGTGTGCCGCGCAGTGCGCTGAGATGATGCCGCAACCGATGCCGAGTGGATTGCCATGGCTTGCTCCTTTACCCCTCGTGCTTCCTGCAGCTCGGGGTGGACTTCGTGCGATTCGCGGGTGAGTTCATCCGCAGAGTGGCCACTGTCGTGAAGACAGGCGAGTGCGCGCGGGTCCTGTCTGACCCTTCGGAGGTAAGATCCCGTTCATCGATTGGTGGGTCAACATTGTTGGTTTGTCATGCAGGCGATCTGGCTCGGGACTTCTAGCTGGGCACGGGTGCTCAACCAACTGAGAAGTGGCTCCGCAGCAGAGCCGCCGTTCGTGTGCAGGCAGAAATATCGAGGTGGCAACAATGCCATCGATTGATCTTGTCGCAGAAAGAATTGTCATCATCATCATCAGCATCAGCATCATCATCATCATCATCATCATCATCATCATCATCATCATCATCATCATCATCATCATCATCATCATCATCATCATCATCATCATCATCATCATCATCATCATCATCATCATCAATCATCCTCGTCCTCGTTCTCGCGCTCGTTCTGTTTTCCTCGTCCTCGTCCTTGTCATCGTCACCATCCGCACTCATTCCTGTTGTTTGTCTTCCTGGTCCGCTGCTCGTGACAGGTGGTGGACCAGCTCCAGAAGCTGACAAAAGGCGCCCCGCAGAGCATCAAGGCAGAGCCCCCACCAGGCTGTCTGCACATACTTTTCAGAGGGTAAAGGTAGGGTACTTGGGAGGAGCAGGTGACGGGGGGATGACTTGCAGTTTGCGCCATCGCCTACGTGCCGTGTTGGCTCCGTTAATTACTGTTCCAGGTGTCACGGCCCCCCCAACCCGATGGCAGTTGGCGCTGCTGTGCTTTTCAGAACCCATAGACATTGCGGCCCTTGTTCACTTAAGCTGGGGTAGCCACGATGGGGGGGAGGAGGGACGAGGGAGGTGGGAGGAGTGGCGGGGAGCGGAAAGGTCAGGCAGGAACCCAGGGCTGAGAGGCCGCGAGCAGCGCCAGGAATGGGTTGAAGCCAGATGGCAAGGGCCAGGGCCAGAGCCCGGGCGAAAACCGGAGAGAAGGCCGCCGAGCGGAAGCTGGAGGCGCGGGGTTGGGTCGGCGGCAGCGGGCGCGGGGCCAGGGTTGGATTAGGACCCGGCCGGGAAGGCGGAGCCGGCGTGCGCGGGTGCTGCCGCCAGGGCGGGAGTGGTGCTGGGGCCAAAGTTTTGGGCGAGAGTTGGAGAGGCCAGAGCCGGGGAAGGCCAAGCTGGAGCCCGGGCCATGCTTAGGGGGGAAGGGCGGCGTGGAAACTGGGGCTGGGGCTGCGGCTGGGGCGGGACATTGTCCTCCCCCAGAACTGAATGTAAAACGGCTGGCCCCCTGTTCTTTCTTCGCCGTGGTGGATCTGCTCATTGCTCTCCCAAAGTTCATTGTAGAATGGCCGCCCCTCCTTCCTCACTTGATTGACCCGGCAGAGCCACCCGAGCATTCACCGCCCCGAGTGAAGCAGAAACTAGTATTCTGAAATCAGATGCGGGGCTGATGTGCAGACTCTTTGAAACTCTAACGCAGTATCGGTGGATTCCGCAGTTGAGATTGCTGGATGGTGCGCGACGAGAGCGAGGAGGAGGAGGAGGAGCATGAGGAGGGGGAGGGGGAGGAGGAGGAGGAGGAGGAGGAGGAGGAGGAGGAGGAGGACAAAAACAGGAAACGGAAACGGAAGATAAGGGGTGATTGGAGGAGCGGGGGAGGGATGGAAGGAGGGAGGGAGGGAGGGAGGAAAAGGAGGAGGAAGCAGATGACGATGATGACGATGATGATGATGATGATGCTGCTGCTGATGATGATGATGATCATGATGATGATATTTTGATGCTGATGATGCTGATGATGCTGATTGTGCTGATGTTGCTGCTGCTGATGATGATGATGATGATGATGATGATGATGATGATATTGATGATCATGATGCTGATGACGACGGCGATGATGATGATGATGGTGGTGGTGGTGATGATGGTGATGATCATGACGATGATGATGACGATGATGATGATGACGCTGCTGATAATGATGATGCTGATGCTGATGCTGATGCTGATGATGATGCTGCTGATGATGATGCTGATGATGCTGAGGCTGATGCTGATGCTGCTGGTGCTACTGCTGCTGATGACGATGATGATGATGCTGCTGATGATGATGATGATGATGATTATGATTATTATTGTTATTCCCATCATTGGTATTATTCTTTATTTTTCATACCCTTCTTTAGCGCATGATTCTTGTTATACGTATATTATTATCATTACCATTATGTGTTGTATCGTTAGTACTATCAATGTTACTGCTGTTGTTATTCTTATTCTAATTACAATTAGTCGTATTCTTAGTACTGTTACTGCTTTTATGTTGTTACCGTTGTTATTCTTATCATCATGTTTATTATTGTGATCATCATTATTGTTTTTTAGTGCTATTATTAGTACTGTGAGTATTCTGATTATTATTGTTATTATACTGAATGTTATTCGTATTACTATTAGTATTCATGTGTGTATTTATCTATTGAGGTTTCTTTTTTATGTATGTATGTATTCATTTTTTATTATGTGTATTTGCATTTGTACTATCATTATTATTGTCATGTTTTCTATCATCATCATCATCATCATTGTCAGTATTATTATTACCATTATTATTATTCTTATTCTTAGTATTACCATTATTATTATCATTACTACTGGTATTGAACTTAGTCTTGCTCTTATGATGACGAGGTGGAGGAGGAGGAGGAGAAGGAGGATGAGGGAGGAGGAGGACGAGGAAGATGAGGAGGATGAGGAGGAGGAGGAGGAGAACGAGGAGGAGAAGGAGAAGCAGGACGAGAAGCAGGAGGACCAGGGGTGATTGGAGGTGCTGGGGAGGTGGAGAGAGGAGGATGGGGAGGAGGAGGAGGAGGAGGAGGAGGAGGAGGAGGAGGAGGAGGAGGAGGAGGCTGAGGAGGAGTAAAAGGAAGAGGAAGAAGAGGAAGATGAAGAGGAAGAGGAAGGAGGAGGAGGAGGATGAGGAGGATGATGATGAGAATTTCGAGGAGCAGGAGGAGGACGATTACCAGGAGGAGGAGGAGGATTACGAGGAGGAGGAGGAGGAGGAGGAAACGGAGGCGGAGGAATAGGAGGAAAAGGAGGAGGAGGAGGCGGAGGAGTAGGAGGAGGAGGAGGAAGCGGAGGCGGAGGAGGAGGTGGAGGAGGAGGAGGAGGAGGAAAAGGAGGGGGAGGGGGATGAAGAGGGGCAGTGACATGGGGGAGGAGGAGCGTCAACAGGGAGAAGAGCCGCGAGAAGAGCAGCGAGAAGAGCCCTCCCCCTAGTGGGCGACACGCCCGTGTCACCCGTTACTCTTTTCTCCCAACCATCCTGTGGTGTTGGGTTCTCGTTTTGAAGAGACAGCGCCACCCCGTTCTTTCCTTCCTTCCTTCTTTCCTCTCTTCTTCTCCTCCTCCGCCTCCTCCTGCTCTTCCCTCCATCCTCCATCCTCCATCATCCCATTCCTCCTCATCATCATCATCTTCACCCTCATTATCAGCATCATCAGCATCATCATCATCAATCCCATCATCATCATGATCACCATCATCATCATCAGCATCATCATCATCATCTTCACCTTCATCTGTATCTTTATCTTCATCTTCATCTTCATCTTCATCATCATCTGCATCTTCATCACCATCTTCATCTTCATCTTCATCTTCATCTTCATCTTCATCTTCATCTTCATCTTCATCTTCATCTTTATCTTCATCTTCATCTTCATCTTTATCTTTATCTTTATCTCCATCTTCATCTTCATCTTCATCTTCATCTCCATCTCTATCTTCATCTTCATCTTCATCTCCATCTTCGTCTTCATCTTCATCGCCATCTTCACCTTCACATCTTCATCTTCATCTTCATCTTCATCTTCATCTTCATCTTCATCTTCATCTTCATCTTCATCTTCATCTTCATCTTCATCTTCTTCATCTTCATCTTCATCATTCATCTTCATCTTCATCTTCATCTTCATCTTCATCTTCATCTTCATCTTCATCTTCATCTTCATCTTCATCTTCATCATTCATCTTCATCTTCATCTTCATCTTCATCTTCATCTTCATCTTCATCTTCATCTTCATCTTCATCTTCATCTTCATCTTCATCTTCATCTTCATCTTCATCTTCATCTTCATCTTCATCTTCATCTTCATCTTCATCTTCATCTTCATCTTCATCTTCATCTTCATCTTCATCTTCATCTTCATCTTCATCTTCATCTTCATCTTCATCTTCATCTTCATCTTCATCTCCATCTCCATCTTCATCTTCATCTTCATCTTCATCTTCCTCCATCTTCAGCATCAGCATCAGCATCAGCATCGTCATTAGCATCATCATCAGCATCATCATCATCATCATCATCATCATCATCATCATCATTATCATCATCACCATTATCACAATAATCACCCCACGCGTCCGTGCCATCCATGTCGGCACAGCCGTCACGCGGTTCGTGGCCCCATAGGGAGCTCCACCGAAGACCCCAGTGGCACTGTTTACATGCGTCCCCACCACCCATGGTCGGCACACCCCTCGCATGTTTCGTGGCCCCATAGGGAGCTCCACCGAAGGCCCCAGTGGTACAGTTTACATGCGTCCCAGCCACTCATTTCGGCACACCCCTCACGCGGTTCGTGGCCTCATAGGGAGCTCCACCGAACGTCCCAGTGATACAGTTTACTTGCGTCCCCACCCAGTACGGCACACCCCTCGCACGTTTCGTGGCCCCACAGGAAGCTCAACCGAAGGCCCTAGTGGCACAGTTTACATGCGTCTGCGCCACCCATTTCGGCACACCCTTCACGCGGTTCGTGTCTCCATAGGGAGCTGCACCGAACGTCCCAGTGATACAGTTTACTTGCGTCCCCGCCACCCATTACGGCACACCCCTCGCACGGTTCGTGGCCCCATAGGAAGTTCCACAGAAGATCCCGGCGGCACTGTTTACATGCGTCCCCACCACCCATGGTCGGCACACCCCTCACATGTTTCGTGGCCCCATAGGGAGCTCCACCGAAGGCCCCAGTGGTACAGTTTACAAGCGTCCCCGCCAGACATTACGGAACACCCCTCACTCGGTTCGTGCCCCCATAAGCTAAGGAGCTACACCGAAGGCCCCAGTGGCACAGTTTACATGCTTCCCCGCCACCCATCTCGGCATACCCCGCGCACGTTTCGTGGCCCATGGGAAACTCAACCGAAGGCCCCAGTGGTACAGTTTACATGCGTCCCCGCCACCCATTACGGTACACCCTCACGCGGTTCGTGGCCCCGTAGGAAACTCCCCCGAAGGCCCCAGTCGCACAGTTTACATGCGTCCCCGACGCCCATTTCGGCACACCCCTCAGACGGTTCGTGGCCCCACCGGGAGCTCCACCGAAGGCCCCAATCGCACAGTTTACATGCGTGCCCGATACCCATTTCGGCACACCCCACACGGTTCGTGGCCCCATAGGAAGTTCCACCGAAGGTACCAGTGGCACTGCTTACATGCGTCCCCGACGCCCATTTTGGCACCCCACACGGTGCGTGGCCCCAGTGCTACAGTTTACACGCGTTCCCGCCATCCATTACGGCACA